GGATGGATGAACAGATGGATGGATGAACAGATGGATGGACAGACGGATGGATGAACAGATGGATGGATGAACAGATGGATGGACAGACGGATGGATGAACAGATGGATGGATGAACAGATGGATGGACAGACGGATGGATGAACAGATGGATGGATGAACAGATGGATGGACAGACGGATGGATGAACAGATGGATGGATGAACAGATGGATGGACAGACGGATGGATGAACAGATGGATGGATGAACAGATGGATGGACAGACGGATGGATGAACAGATGGATGGATGAACAGATGGATGGACAGACGGATGGATGAACAGATGGATGGATGAACAGATGGATGGACAGACGGATGGATGAACAGATGGATGGATGAACAGATGGATGGATGGATGGATGGATGAACAGATGGATGGATGAACATATGGATGGACAGATGGATGGATGGACGGATGAACAGATGGACGGATGGATGAACAGATGAATGGACGGATGGATGAACATATGGATGAACAGATGGATGAACAGACGGATGGACGGATGAACAGATGGATGGATGAAGAGCCTTTTTCAGTAGGACATGTGACCCTGTGTGTTTCAGATCATTAAGCTGTTGGACAGCAAGCGTTCCCAGGCAGTGGGCATTCTCATATCGAGCCTCCACCTGGAGATGAAAGACATCCAGCAAGGTGAGCAAACCACTGGAGCTGATTTTATTTCAAGACATTTTATCAGAAAGGACTTCAAGTTACTCATTTTGATGGGAGTTTTTACATGATCATAAGGGAACACCGTAATCTGTTTCATCTTCTGGATATCAGGACATGTTTTGTTTTCTCAAAACACCTGGCTTCATTTTCTCGCTCTCTACAACCTTTTGGTGTTTTGAATGATTTGGCACCCAATTTTTTTTCTGAACTTCATGACTCATGTCCCCAAAAGAGCTAAAATCTCCCAGCCAGCTGCTGTCGGTGCATCTGAGGGATGATTAAAGCACAGAGTTACTGATAATCAAACTGCACAGACTTTAGTCTTTTTATTCCCATTTGAAAAGTTTGAGTTCCCTCAGGTCATAATGTTTTTTTTCTAGTTTTAGTTGGTTTGTAGTCTATTTTATTGTGTTTGTTGGTGTTTACATGTATGATTTTATTGTATTGACGGCTTCTCTCATTTGTTTTTACCAACTTGTAAATCACTTTGGTTAACTTTGTTTTCTCATCAATAGAATGTTTCAATRTGTGTTACGCTAGCTCATATTTTATAAAGTCTGACTGCCTTATTGTTGTATAAAACACTGCATATTGTGTGAACTTTTAAAGCTTATGTTCATACTTCCAGCTGTACTGACCGTGGACCATTCTGTGGTGGACCTGGACGCCATCGAAGCACTTTATGAAAACGTAGGCATTAAAATGCAGGCATTAMTTTAAAACTGCATATTAATCACGTCAAATTATTTTTATATGTGATTTCCACTGTGTCAGAGAGCACAACCAGAAGAGCTGGAGAAGATCAGAAAACACTACGAGACGTCAGAGGAAGAGGACGTTAAACTGCTGGACAAACCTGAGCAGTCAGTAGTTTCAGAGTGCATACAAGCATTTTGTGCTTAGACTGACTATACAGAGAAAAATAAGTTGTAAACTGGTATCTGTGGTTCTTTAAGGTTCCTGTATGAGCTGTCTCAGATCCACGACTTCACAGGCAGAGCTTGGTGTATCATTTTCAAGTCAGCCTTCGTCGATGGGATCACCGCCATTAAACGCAAGCTCAACTCTGTCTCCTCAGTGTGTGAGGTAAAAACTAAATGTAAGAAGCAAACTGTATCCAAACATGTGACATAAACGTGTTCTGTTTCAAGGTTCTGCTGGAAAGCAACAGTGTCAGGGAGGTGATAGGACTAGTGTTGGCTCTGGGGAACCACATGAACGGAGGCAGCAGGATCAGAGGTCAAGCCGACGGTTTTGGGATGGAAATCCTCCCCAAATTAAAAGATGTCAAAAGCAAGGTGAGGTCTGATGATTGCAGAGCTACTGCAGCTCTTTTTTCCCCTGATATGGCACGTTTAAATTTAATTTTGATCTTTTTAGAGCTTGAAAAACAGCACACAAGCCTGCAGGAAAAGTTTTGTGGGGATCGCAATCAGTCATGTTAAGGAGTAAACAAAGCAAAATAAATAAAATAGTAATAATTTACTTAGGATGCACTTATCAAATACAATTGTAAAAACAGAAACATGTTCCTCTATGCAGGACTGATTGATAGAAATGTAGAACTTCTGCTCCTAAACAGAATCTTTATATACAATATTAAACAATAGGTTAATGATGTTTAAGAAGCAGCTGTGCCATAAAAATTTGACAATGTATTATAAACAGCAATCAGAATATGCAACAAGAAATATTTGTATATAACAAAACTAATTTGAACTCCTTTATAAAATAAAATAAAGGCAAATAAGTATATTTTGTGTGAAATGGTTTCTATTAACTCTCCTTATTGATGGATTATGATCCTAAATGTTTAGCTTTAGTGCTTTAAAGTCTAGTATGTGTCCTTACTGATTCGCAGGTCGAGCTAGGAGTGTGTGCAAGTTTTTACCTGGTGTTTTTACCTGGTGTTTTTACCTGGAATGAATCAATGGATCTGTGGGCAGTCCTCTCACAACCACCTGCAGACTCTGTGGGCTGGACTCAACCATAAACAGCGTGTTCCAGATTCAGTTCATACCTAACAATATAACCAAAAACTGATGTTTGTATTTAACAACAATAAACTTGATAAAAATTTCCTCATTTTAACCGCATTTAACATTAACATTTGTGACAAGTGCTAATTTTGCAACTATTTGAATTACTAGTGATTTTAGTTTCACACTTTACAATCAAGTTCACATGTATATTTAACAATCACATCAATTAAATCACATTAAAAATGCTATACAAATAAACTAAGTTGGTTAAACACGTTCAATTATTAACATCCCTACAGTCACAGTACAGTGCAGCCCAAAGGCTATTAGCCAAGCTTGCGTTAGCGTAGCGATTAGCTTAATTGTTTTTTCCAACAACCTCTTTTAAAGTCTTGACAGAAGTTTGTAAAACATGTCCAGAATGTAAAAAACAATTCTCTCAAACCCAAGACTGTTTATAAAAAAGCGTTTTGGATTAAATAGCAAACATTATCTAGCATTCAAAATGTGGCTAAAGGCGCTAATATGTGGTGCTAACTGTTAGCAGTAGCACGTAGCATAACAAACAGACCTTTCCGGATCTTCAAAATGCAGCAAAACAATCTTAGTTCCGGTCAGAAATACACTAAAGTAAAATTATAAATGTTAGGAATTAATTTAGATGATAAAACYGAACTGTACGGGTTATTTTATAAGTTGTTGTTTTTTACCATGAATTTTCTCCGGTTCTTACTGAAACTTAAGCGGAAGTTAAACGAGGCACGAAACCAGTGTTGCTGAGGTCTCTGACCCTAAACAGCGCATAGACTAGCGCGCCCTCTGCTGGAAACAGCTGTTACTGCATCTCAAACCACATCTTTAGTTTCCCATGCAACACATGTTACAGAAATATTAAGATTTTTTTATTTAGTAAAAATAAATATTAAGCTAATGTTTCATTTTATACTGATTTAAAATTTTGACATGGTTTCTGTATTTCCTGTCAGGACAATCGGATCAGCCTGGTGGACTATGTGGTGTCGTACTACCTGCACAACATAGACAAGGTATTACATAAAGAGACAAACGTCATTATCTTTTCTGCAGTTTGTGTTTCAGAAGTGTATTTTGTTTTTAAYGGTATTATAGTGTTATCTATCACGTTTTTGAACATCAAAAGTCCAAAATATAATAATTTTAAGGAATGAAATTAACCTAAACACATTGTAACCAGATATTTTTTGAAGTTATATGTGTAAAATGTTACCAGTATAATATGGGCTTTGCATGTGTTAAGCACGTCCTGGTTTACAGATGGATTTCTGGAAGCTGATGATAAAAATCACAAGCTCCTCATCTGATTTCCTTTCATTTCACCAGAACTCGGGCACAGACAAGAGCATCTTTCCTGTCCCCGAGCCTCAGGACGTCTTTGTGGCAGCTCAGGTGAAGTTCGACGACCTCAGCAGAGACCTTCAACAGCTCAAAGCAGATCTGACAAGTACGTGACCCCACTGTGACCTCGCCAATGTGCCGAAACAAAACACGAGAAGTGGAACCTCCACATCGACCAGGAGTGGGTTCGACTTGTGGTTGTTTTGTTTCAAAATCAAACCCAGCCTGAGTAACTTTATCTGTTTACTTTATTTGTTGCTCCTCACCGACGACGCCTCGGCACAGTCTGGCATCTTGTTTTCATCGGTTTTCTGTCCCGTTCTGTTCGTGCTGTTTATACTGAGGCCTGCCTCTGCTGGAGGCCTAAAACAAAAGATTTCCTCTCGTCCTTCTTATCCATAAGTGTGCCTTCGTGACGCCACTCTGTGTGCCAGTCGGCTCTGAGGACAATGCTTCCAGTGCGTGTCGTTGTGTGCGTTTCTTTCTACGTGTGTGTGTGCGGAGCCTGGCTGCTGATAGAGCGGCCTGGCGCCTCACAGATCCAGCTCCTAATCCCTCTGCCCATCAGATCTGCTCATTGTTGTGCCTTTGTGCCCGTGTCGCCAGCGCAGGGAGACTGTAGCGCTGGGCTTACGTAATCTTCAGACCTGGTGTATCTGCTGGATCTCTGCGGGGAGATACTGCTCGGCCGTATCACCTGTGTGGCCCCCAGATGTGCGCCGCAGATAGCTTTCTTTACCTCTCAGCACAGCTTTGTCTTATCGGCCCATCTACCCAAACTACGGCGTTATCTGGACGGCCTTCCGCAGCTTCCTTTTGTTCTGTGTGTTTGAACTGCCCTCATGCCGGGTTTGAAGCTCTGCTTTTGTTGTTCTTCACTCTCCCTCTGCTTTGGACTCTTCTAAAAGAATTGATTTACTGTAAACTTTACTGTTCAGGAAAAAAGAGCAGTGGAGTGTTTTCTTACGTAATCCAGGTGTTTGTGTAATTACTCACACATTTGGTTACGTTTGGTCATCGCAGTTCAACAAACACTTTCACTGGAAACACTTGTGTGTGACGACTTGCAGGAAAATGAGCTAAAATGCTAAAACTCTCTAAATTATTTTATTTTGTTGCATTGAGACATGAATTTAAAATGTACTATTTTTTAAATCTATTTTTATATTAATTTTAAAGAAATGTAAAAAAAATGTTTGTTTTTATTGGTGGGCCAGATGGAAATCTCCCGCAGACCATCTCCGGCCTGCGGGCCACCAGTTGAATAGCCCTGCTCCAGTTTTTTAGCAGCACAGGTAATGTCCAAATATGGATTTATGGTCTCCAAGATGTTTTAGCCTTATTTATTATATTTTTAAAGGGTTATATATTGTGTAATGTAGAGGTTGGCTGATATTTGTTGTTTTTATTGTGTTGGCATCAGCTGATTCATGCATGTGTTTTCTGAGACAAAAAAACAATCTTAAGTTCAGATTGTTTTTGTGGTTGTGTATTTAAATGGTCAACGTTGTTTGTTATGAAATAATTAGAACTCCATAAAACACAAATTTACAGAATATTACAATTAGGGCTGTGAAATTAATCGAGTTAACTCTGATTAATTTTAGTGCTGCATGGATATAGGTTAAACATTTTAATTGCAATTAATCATGATTAAAATGTACAATCACTTTACTCTGGCTGAATATGTAGGTTTGTATATTACAATGCACTCAGTGCCAGGTCATGTTTGTAAATGAGAAGTGGTTCTCAAACAGTTTACCTGCATAAATAAAGGTTAAATAAATAAAATAAATTTAAAAAAAACTCCATGTGTAACACATTATGTACAGTTTTTTTCTTTTTATCTTCTTATGGCTTATTTTATTTTATTTATTTATGTTTTGCTGACAACTGTGACCTATCTTTCATTCCTCATGTAGTACTCATTTGGAATGAAAATCCTTGAATATTTTTGCATAAAATTTAACTGACTCAAATATGTTTGGAGCATTTTAGGTCCTGTTTTATAGTCAAAAAATCATGTAATTTATTTTATCAATATGCAATAGAAATGTATATTAAATTTAAGATTAATCATGATTAATTCACAGCTACTTTGAGCTTAATCAGATTAAAATATTAATCATTTGACAGCCCTAATTACAACACAAATACCTTGTTGAGCCAGCACATGAACCAAGCTGCTGCAGACGATTCGATCTAATCTTAAGCTCGTTCTTCTGCAAAGTGCAGGTCTCACATTTTATAAATGCTCTTAAACCTTGTGATATGAGCGATACAACAAAAAATTGCACTTTCATCAAGTAAGAACCTTTTATGAACAAGAGAATAACAATTTTTTAATGTGAACTACAACAATTTACAAATATTTAACTTCTGGAGCCAAATATTGATTTCCTTTCTGTAGAACCATTTCAGTGACACTTAGTTTCCTGTTTAGTGCTGAGCTGATATTTTATTTTATGACTAATGTAACCGTTTGATAAACGAGGAGCGATCCAAACAGGACCTCCACAAGAAAGCGTTCATCCCTCGGCCTGAAACTGAATGTGAGTCGTTGGTGCAGCTGCAGCCTCTCATCTGGGAGCAGCTTGTTTACGTGACCCTGCTGCTCTGAAACGATCCAACAGAACAGCAGCCACAGATACCCGCCTCAGCAGTTTATACAAACCCCAAATGAAAACAGTATTCTCCTGTCATCTTATCTGAGAGATGGAGGGCGAGCGGCGGGGGCAGCGAGTGTGTGTGGGGGGGGGGGGGGCGGGGGCCTCGGCTCTATTATGACTGGCTCTGCAGACTGGCTCCTCTGATCCAGCCTGATTGGACACAGGGCGATGTGGAGAGGAGGACCAGGAGGTTCTCAGTCGCCATCTTGGGCCGAATCTCAGGAGGAGGAGGTGCTCGTCAGGTGGAGGTGGAGGAGGTGGAGCCTCAGATCTTCTGTCGGTCCTCTGACTCCACGTCAGGGAAACATTTATTAACTTTACTCAAAAAACTGAATCATTTACAGGTTTTACAGCTGAGCTCATTAATTAGCTCTGATACTCTGAACAATAATTAACATAAATATTATCAAAAATGTGTTTTATTTTTCTTACATCAGTCAGAATGATAAACTTCTTCAACTACAAACATCACTAATAGAATAGAATAGAATAGAATAGAGTAGAATAGAATAGAATAGAATAGAATAGAATAGCCTTTATTGTCCCGGACATTCAGGTGTCCCAGCACCATCAGTACAGAGGTTCTCACACTAGTTTACAAACTATAAAAGTACACAGAAAACAAAATTACCACTAACTAGCCACGATACAAGTGATAATAAAAATATAATATAAAGGATAATAAGTAAACAAATACAAAAATACTGCAAAATACCTGCTTATACTAATATTATTGAACTTTTTTAATGTTTTTGTTTTACTAGATCTTTTGAAAAAAATAAAACTTGTAGAAATAATTAAATTCTAATAACAATAATTGACTGTAATTAATAATTTAATGATCTCAGGACCCCCAGCTTGCTGTTTTGGGGTCCGGACCACAAAAACAGTTCCTGGCTTCCACGTGCCGTCTAAATTTACCTAAAGACGTGTTTACTGTTTGTTGGAGGTGCATCCTGAAGTCATGGTTTAACCCTTTAACTGTTATGATCCTGTTCATGGAGGAAAACTGGAATAAATGTTTCTGCACTCAAATGTCCACCAGCATTAAGATAATATTTAAAATGTTTTATTATTATTATTTTTAAGATTCTTACGCGTTGCCTGATTTTATACTAAATCCTTTGTTTATTTTTGTTTGTTTCAGGATGTGAGAAAAGTGTGGAGAAAGTGTGTTCAGACTCTCCAGACGAGCTCCTGCAGCCGTTTAAAGACAAGATGGAGATTTTTGTTCTGACCGGTGAGGAACTCTTTCAAACCTTCAGGAATATAAATATTAGTGTAAAATGTTACAATGATTTAGGTCAGTTTTCATCTTTGGACTCGGTTCTGTTTTACTTTTTTACCTCAAATCTTCGTCCTGTAGATGATTTCACAGCTTCTTCTACAAGAACAAAGTTTTTGAACCATTTGAAAATCCTTCAAACAGAGCGAACATTTCCCTGATTTATGAAAGGTTTAATCAGTTATTTTGGATTTTTTACATCTTATTTAGTTCATTTTTCTCCTGTTTTATTTTGTTAAATTTTTTTATTTATTTTTGGGTTTTAGTGTCTCTTTTATTTTAGGGACTTTTTTTTGCACAACTAGTTTGCAGCATCTTATTTAAAAAAATCATTATTATTTTATTTTTGTGCCTTTCAGGTATTTTAACATTTTGTGTTGGTAAATCTACCATTTTGTTTAACATGTTTTTTTGTGGGAAAGGGAGGATTTTTACTTGATTTTTCTGGTAAATTGTCTTTTATTTGAATTTATTGTTTATTTCTAAACAAGTATCTATTTTTTTTCTGTTCAAACTTATCAAATAATATTTATCATCTTTGCCTCGTTGCCATCAGACTGAGGAGGTTTATGTTAGTTTTAGGGTAGGGGGTTAGGCTGTAGAAATTTAATAGAAGTCAATGGAACGTCCCCATGTGTATAGGTAGACAAACGTGTGTGTGTGTGTGTGTGTGTGTGTGTGTGTGTCAGAGTAAAAAGCAGACAATAAGATAAAGATCAGGCAGATTTGACTTCTGCTGCAGACTTTCAGGCACTGAACCTCCTCAGCTGGTGTTTTTACTCAAATCTGAGCCGAACAGAATWTTTGTTTTATTTTCTGTGTTTTCACAGAGCGACAGCAGTAAAAASAGAAAACCTGGGTTCGTTTTCTGTTACACTTCTCTCCTGTCATGTTTTGTGTGTTTGCTGTGAAGCCGTGTCGAAACCATAAAAATTAATCTTGTTCGTTTTTGTTTCTTGAGTTCAGCTGAAAATAGAGTTTGTTTTTATTTTATATCTCAGAATAAAGTCAAACAATCAGCTGGAAACCAGCTCATGTACAAGTCTTAACCACTAAGTTGAAACAGAAATTATACGTTTATTCAAAAATTAGATCCAATCTGACGAAACAGAAATTATACGTTTATTCAAAAATTAGATCCAATCCGACATCTTCCGTTTCAAGTATCTATCTTCATGCCATTATACTCTCAACCATGTCGTACTGTTTACCTGTTTGGTCTCTTACAACAAATGAAATCTTAGAACTCATAGTTAGGCTCTACAACAGGGCCTACAAAATTCATAAAAATCTTCCTGGTTGGACTCATCACTGTACAGTTCTTTCACTGTCTGATGCCTTGACTTTTCAGAATTATGTTTTGTATAGTGGTATTAATTTATATTTTCAGATCTTCCAAGGTGCCAATTATGGAACTCTCTGTGCATTGTTGCCCAAATCAAATTCTGGAAGTGGTCATTCAACTAGATCTGTTACAAAAGGACAACTGATATTACCAACTTTTAAAAACTGYTACGGCCAGAGGTCTTTCTTCTATGTTTATACTAAAGCATGGAATGACATTCCTCAAAACATAAAGTCCATTTCAAAACTACAGCCCTTTAAGAAGAATCTTGTCTGCCATCTGCTGGACACTTTTTGTTCTGCTCATATTTAGACGTCCTATTTTGCAAATGCTGCCTTCCTGAAATTTGGTATGCTTGTTTGTCTTTGTGTCTATGGTGTATAATGATGTGATTGTGATGCTGTAATTCTGAGTGTTTTATGTGCTGCAGAACAGGAACCTGCTGTAAAACAGCAATTATGCTGAGTCAGGCTGGATTTTTAATAATCTTTTCCTGTTAAATAAATAAATCAAATCAAATCAAATCAACAGTCAGAGAGAAAGGATTCAATCTGTTTGGTTCTTTTAAAAAGCATCACAGTTTTCTGTGTTGATGATTCTCAGCAGGACTTTTCTTTATTCTGACACAAAGAAGTAAAAATGTTTGTTTCCTCGCAGCACAAAAGGAGCACGCAGACGCTTCCTATCAGCTGATGAACGTACAGAAAAGGTGAGGAATCAAACCGTTAGAGTTAGTTCACTCTGGTTGTAGAGTAACGACAGATGGAGGCACTGTTTTCCCTGTTTTCAACCAGAAACATCTGTTTCAGCCCATCAGTGAGAGGAGGAGTCAGAAATAAGGGCTCAATAAAGTCACATATTAAAAAATATGTTTTATACCTTTTATTGCACTTTTCCCTTTTCACACGTTCACACTACATAACTTGTTTCTCATTTTGGATTGTTTTATTGGTTATTTAGTTAAACTTGCTATTCTTTTGCATCTTTTCAGTTCTGATAAAATCATTTCATTTACAAATAGTTTTACATCTGTCTGATTATTTAGTCTTTTTTTCCTTTTTGTTTAAATCTGTCTTTTCCATTCCAGTAAAACATGAAAATATTAATATTTCGCTTAATTCTGTTTATTTTGCACCAAAATTACAACAAAACATCAAACTGAGAACAATAAATCCAACACAAATCATGGTTTATTCAGTTCAAACAATCACTAAGATTAAAACAAAAAGAAGAAGAGTTCTTTGTGTCCAAATGTGCCTTCAGAGCTGCTTTAAAGAAAACAGATCTGGGCTTTTTCTGGTTCAATAAAAGGTTAGAAGAATAAAAGTAATGTTCCAGAGTCAGTTCTTTGGATTAAAAAAAAAACCTAAAGAGACAAAACTCCATTTTAAAACACATCTAAACCATTTTTGCCACCTTGCTCTCATCGCTGACTTTGTGTTCAGTTTCCAGGACCTGGTTCTGTACTTCGGACTGAAACCCAAACCAGGRGAGAAGGAGGTGACGGCCGGACACCTGTTCATGCTCTGGTTCGAGTTCTGCGCCGATTTTAAGGCCAGATGGAAGCGAGAGAACAAGAACATCTCCAAAGACAGGTTGATGACAGCTTTCTGAGTCCGTCACATTTCCAGAGAATCAAAGCTCTCAGCTTCAGGCCTTCAAAATAAAAGCTGCAGACGCCACAAACACAGCTTCTTAAATGGGCCCTCGTTTCATTTCTCTGTCTGTTAGCGCAGCTCAGACGAGGGTGTTTAGTAATCAAAGTTAAAGACAAAACGTTGAAGTTAAATAAGAAGGAAGCTGTGAGGGACACCCCCGGTGTGGGCAGAACCACATCATTTAAAGACAGCACTGATCCTGAAGCTGGAATATTATCTTTATCAAACCTCCTGTCCCAAACGACTGAATAAAAACAACTGTTGTGAACCAACAGGTTAAAAGAAGCTCAGCTGTCAGTGAAGAGGATCACAGCAGAGAAGAAGGTGGAGACGAGGAGGATCAACCCCAACAGCCTGGTGAGACTCCGGCCTCACAGTTTAAACACGACTTTACACCAGATTTCAACCCAACTCTTTGTCCCACAGAAAGACCGGCTGCGTCAGAAAGAGACCAACACGTCTGCAACTTAATAAATCAGGACGTAATAAAACGACGAAGCTGGACCGGATCAGGGAAACCAAAGCAGCATTTAAATGTGTCTGATTTGTCCTTTTGTTTTCATAAACAATATGTAAATATTTTAGTGTTTATTTCCTAAATGAAGACATTTTGATTAGATTTTTTSTAAAAGTTTTACTTTGTTTTTCCAGAAATAAAAGCTCTGATCAGATCAGTAAGAAGTTTGGGGTCTTTGTTTTTGGTTTCCTCCGGGGGGACACCAGGACTTGTGGGGTTAATGGTCATGTCTGGATTATCCACTGCAGATAAACTCACATGAAGCCATGAGGGGACGATCCTCTGCAGGTTTTTATACAACTCTTTGAAAAAAGGATCAATAAAAAGGTCAGGATTCATTCGTTTGCAGAGTTGTAAAGTAAATACAAATACTTTGTTACTGTACTTAAGTAGAAATTTTGGTTATCTGTACTTTAATTATTTTTCAGCCTACTTTTTACTTTTACTCATTTTTACACAATTATCTGTACTTTYTACTCACTACATTTTTTAAAAAGGTAAGAAGTAKAAAGTCGTTACTCCTGTTTTATTCTGAGTTGTTACTTAAATAAATCCTCTCCTGATAAACTGTGTCTCCTATAGAGTGAATTTAATTGTGTTTGGATGAGAAGTATAAATATATACCATTCTGACACACTATTAGCTTGTACACAACCCATCACAGCTGCACGCTGTTAGAAAATATAGTTTTTGGAGAAGTCACCTCCCAATAAATGTCATTTTGGAAAATCTAACTGCTCACTTTTACTCAGTACTTTTACTTTTAATACTTAAGTAGATTTTGTGTCAGAAATTTACTTTTGACACTTAAGTACAAAAATATCAGATACTTTAAGACTTTTACTCAAGTAATATTTTTAGASAAKACTTTAACTTTTACCAAAGTATTTTTATGATAAGATACTTGTACTTTTACTGAAGTATCATCTTGAGGTACTTTGTACAACACTGTCCGTTTGTTTACCTTCGGGTCAGCTGGAGGCTCCAACATGAGCCTCGWGTCTAAGATTTCATGTCCAGTCGAGCTCCTCACATTAAAGTCCGCTCCATGTCCACATCAAACGGCTTCAGTCCGTTCTGACTGTGGCGCAGCGGCACTGCTTCACGCGCTGGACCCGTTTCCTGCGCGTGCTGGGCGTCCGCCCCGGGCAGAGGAGCGTGTAGGTGACGGTGCTGAAGGTCTTGGGTTTGCAGGCCGAGCAGGACTGGAAGGCGCTCCCATCCTGGTGCGCGTGCCGCGGGATGTAGAAGGAGTTGCACTGGCCGTAGCAGAAGCGGTTGATGATGGTCCGGCTCAGGCAGCCGTCCTCCTGGATGCTCTGCTTCAGCGGCTGCGTCTTGCACCAGTCCAGCCGCAGGTACCGCCGCTCCGTGACCAGCAGCGCCTCCTGGCTGGACTCCAGCACCTCGTCCRTTGAAGCCACGGGGCCCGGCGCGCGGGACAGGAGTCCGCCGATGGGCGGTAGGAGACAGCCCTCTGATTCGTTCGGGCTGCGATTGTTCGGCTGGGATGTTTCCGGTTCCGTGCTGTTSGCTGGGTCGTGAAGCAGAGCCAGAACCACTGCGAAGATCAGCGCCGAGGGTGACTGCATCGTTAAAGGCTGAAACACAAACACAGGAATCAGTCACGGATGAGACTTTTACACACAGATTACACATGAAATTAGCTTGGAGCTTTTCCCTCCTAAGCAGAAAATATTTTAGTTTCAGGAAAATAAATCTGCATTTGAAGCTGATTTACCTTCTGGGTGYAAAATCCACCTGACCAGACTTGGTTCTGTCCCAGTTAGCAGGGTGTGTTCAGTCCTGGAGTCCTGCGTCCTCTGGAGCGACTCTGAACGTCTCCATCAGGTCTTGAGTTTCATCAGGGGAAAAACCCACCCCCTCTGCCTCCCCCCAAACCCAGATCCTCAAACCCAGATCCTCAAACCCAGATCCTCACCTTATCAGTCTGAGAACTTTAAAAACACAGAGCATCAGTTTGTCGATGCAGATAAATCGTTTATTTGACTTCACGGAACAAAAACAGAACACAAACATTTTGACAAGATGTGGTAAACAAGATAAGTCCGAGCAGCTGCAGCTCCACAGGAAACTGCTCTACTTTTTCTGTAAAACAAAGAAAAATGTGATTTTAATGTTTATTTTAAGGATGTGAATGTTTTGGATATGACAGGCAAGTGATTTATAACAGCACACTGAAGCTTTACAGTGACACTGATTGACAGAAATTTATGATTTATCATTCAGAGAAGTCCTTTGTTTCTATATTCTAGGTTTAAATGTTGTTTTAAAAGAAAAGAATTCATTTTATTATTTAACAAATGTTTGAATCATAGATGTAATTGTGCAACAAGTTTAAAACTTTTTAATGTTGAGGGTGTGGAAAGTGTTCATCTTGCTGAAACTTAACTGTTTTACCTGTCTGGTCTACATTTCAGAAAGTATTTACCAAAAACAAATTACAGCTGAAGCTCTGAGGCTCAAAATTAAAAATAACTTTTTTCACAAATATGAATTTGTGTCACGCAGCGTGTTGGAAATAAAAGCTCCGACAGAATCTGATGATCTGGGCCGGTTTAAATAAAGCTCTGATAACACGTTCAACACCTGCACCTGAGTCTCACTGAGGGTCCAGGTAAAGTCTCAGGAGTTTAGCTTGAAGGTTTGGGAGCTGAGGTGGTCGGTGCTTCCTCCTCCTCCTCCTCTTCCTCCTCCTCTTCAGGGAAGTGAGGAACTGATTTCTTGGCGACGACGTTGTCGAGCCTCTGACCCAGTAAGTACGGGTTGGTGCTCTGCAGACAGAAACAAACATTCAGGAACAAACGTCCAAAATTAATCAGTGCTTGTTTGGTTTGATTAAGAAAAAATTTCACCCTTTTTCTTCTTTTTGGTCCACCCTTCAGTTTTTGATATAAAAGCTCCTTGTTCTGTGAGGAAACACAAACAAAACACTTTAGAGAAAAAAAAAAGACACAGTTTTAGTTTTACAGCTCCTACAGGACAGGAAACTAATTCCCTGAAGAAATTTAAATATTTACCTCACAAATACATCAAGCTTTTGGTTTTTAACTTCTGACACAACTCACAATTTACCTCTTAGCTTTCAGCTTCAACTCCTTTTAGGTTTTAGCTTGTGTTCTGCAGTCGTTCAGGACTCCACGTTTACAATTTCTCTTCTTTCTTATAGAAAATTCTCAGTTTAATTAAAAGCACGTCAAGAACATTTAACACTTCCTGGCCAACGCTGTACTCACCCACTTCGCCAGAGCCGGGTAGTCGTGTTCTGGGTCGAACAGGTGCTGGTGCTTCTGGAACTCTCTGCTGAACTCAGCCGTGTCAGGAGCGTTCTCCAAGCACCCGTCTCCTGCTGCCAGTTCAGCAAGGCAGCGCAAAATTTACATTTCACACAAGAAGCAACATAAGAACGATTATAGCTACAGAAGGAGTGAGGCAGATGACACATTTGCATCATCTCGTTTTGCAATAACAATAACAATAACAATAACAATAACAATAACAATAACAATGAAGCTTAGAGGGAGATTTCTCCACCTGTTTTTCCCAGAGGACAGGGGTTTGGAGGGTCCGGGTAGCTGTGGTCTTCACTAAAGTCTTTAGGAACATTGTCTCCTGTCAACTCGGCCACAATGTTGGGGATGTTCCCGTAAGGACCGAGGTGCTGCAGCCCCTCATGAGCACCACCTGGTGGAGAGAAACATGCACTGCAGTCAAAAACATTTATCTTTTTTTTTTAAATCCAGTAACAAGCGCATAAAATGTATGAGTCCTTTTAAAATAAATTAAAGCAGTTATCACTATGTAAAATATGGTTTATGTATTATAAAATGTGATTAATAAATCCTGGCTCACCCTGGATGCTCTGAGGCCCCACGATGTTTGCGGCCTGATGGGCGGGATACTCCACGCGGGGCCGAGCGATGCCCAGCTGCTCCATGACGCCGTGCAGCAGCCGCTGGATGTCGGCCTCCGACACCTGGTCCGCCGTGCGGGGGCTGCGGGCCGGAGCTCTGCCGACCTGCAGGCACAGCAGGAGGCCGAGCAACGCTAACCGCACCGGGGATCCCATTTCTGTCGTCTGCGGGTTAATTTATGAACAAACAGCTGCTTTTATCCTGTTAAAACACACGATATGAGCCAATTCATCTGTTTATGTGCACAGATAGTTGTAGCAAAAAATAAAAAATAATCCTGTCTGTAAATATGTAGTAAATCTTTGATGATGCACCACTCCGTAAACAGAGCCATAAACAGATAATAAATTCCGAATAATTATAATAAACCTATATTTAATTTCCTTTCCGTATTACTTGTTTGTATCATATATAATTCGGTGCTAAAAAGCTCTAAAATCAGATTTATCCATTATTTTTTTCTCCTCCTTACCTCGTACGCGCTGACGGAGGAACCTGCTAAKCAAGCCAGCGATGCTAAGCTAGCGACACAAACAAACACGCTTCCGGTTTTCAAAGTAAAGTAATGCTTTAACATCGACGTTCTTCACGAGTACAATATATTTTTTAATATTGTACTATTTATATCTTTAACACTATTAGGTCCCAAAAAACACTTGGTGTCATGCGCACTGAGCTGTTTGACACGACAAGCTTAACTGTTTGCTTTACTCTGAAGGAACCTGTATTCCGGTGTTTACTGCGCAGTTCCGCTTTACGGTTCAGAAGGCGTTGCTAGGTAACCGCAAATCTGACAAACATACTGAAAGGCTGTCAGCATGGTAACATTGTATGAATAAAACCTAATTTTGTATTATATTTTCACTGTTATTTTTTATTTTACTTTCATAAATTATATTTTATGTTTTATTCTTCTCTTCACTGTTATTATTGCAGCAAGAGAAAGTAATATGAACTGTAATTGTATGGATTTTTTTTGGTGACTCGTTTAAAAAAAACTTATTCAGCAGCCAGAATGCTGCTGAATAAGACAGATAGATAGATAGATAGATAGATAGATAGATAGATAGATAGATAGATAGATAGATAGATA